GATGAGAGGAGCGGCTTCGCGGATGGCTGCGGGAGCGCTGTCCCCCGACGGTGCCCGCCGCGCCCCCTCCGCTCCCGGCCGCGCTGCAGCGGGGCCGCCCGGACACGTCGAGCCCGCGGCGGAGGGGCGACAACGGGCACGACCCCCGCCCGCCGCTCGTGGGATCAGGGCTCAAGGCGGCGGGATTCCTATCCTGCCCGAATCCCGGGATTCGTTCCTGCCCTGCTCCTGGGCTTCGAGCTGCGGGCGCTCCCGGGGTTCGGTCACGGGGCGCTCCCGGGATCGATCCCTGCCGTTCTCGGAATCCGAGCACCGTTCTTCTAAATCCTTCCCTGCCGCTCTGCGTGTTCGGACGCGGGGCGATGCCGGCATCCATCCCTGCCCCGTTCCCAGATTCATCCCCGCTGTCCCCGGCTCCATCCCTATGCCGCTCACGGATCCATCCCCGCTGTTCCCGTTCCCATCCCTGCCCCGTTCCCGTTCCCATCCCTGCCCCGTTCCCAGATTCATCCCCGCTGTCCCCGGCTCCATCCCTATCCCGCTCACGGATCCATCCTCGCTGTTCCCGTTCCCATCCCTGCCCCATTCCCGGTTCCGCTCCCGGGGTCCGGGCGCAGGGCGCCCCCTGGCGGGCCGCGGGGCGGGCCCGGGGCGCTCCCCGCACACCCCGGGACACCGGGACACCGGGACACGGCGGCTCCCTGGGGCCTGGGAACCGCGACGTGAGCCCCGGTAGGGCGGTAATACCGCGTACTGCCCGCCGGTACCGGGGAGGGAAGGAGGGAAGGAAGGGAAGGAAGGAAGGAAGGAGCTATTCAGTTCTGGCATCCCTCTAAACGTTTGGAATACCTTTGAGCATGCACTGCAAAAATCTGCCCTGGCACACGCAGAGCTCTGGACTGGGACGTGCTCACATGTGCACAGGGGGCAACAATCTCTACTTCTAAACATTTTAATGTCTCGATCAAATCTACCTGATTTTTCTTGCTATTTCGTTTTAAAGATGCCCACTTGGCACTTTGAAGCAAGACATTTTTTGTCTGAATCAAACTGCCCCGGAGTCTTTCCTCCTCCTGAACATTTGGGGTTATAAATAGAGGGAGAATTTGTATAGAACCAGTCACACAACATTTTTGGCTCCAACAGATGTGGTGTTTCATGTGCTTTCCACACATCTTGGGGATGGGGTCTCAGCAATTAATAGTTTGCAGGAATATTCTGTTATTAGCAACTGTTTCTTGTTCCTGCTCTCGTTAACAACTTAATGCACCTGGCAAAGTAAAGGTCATTGGGAATTTTTCAAAGAAATGCTGTTTCTGTGGGAATATCCCTCAACTCTGGGGTAAAATGTACAGAGGAAAAAACCCCAGACAGACAGAAAATAATTTCTGTTCAGAAAACAGCCAATAGCCACCGAACTCAGGTTCCTGCCTCAGACCTGGGCTAAAGCTCTGTGCTAAATGTTTGCAGCTCTTACATGAAAAGCCAAGGGTGAAAAGTTCTTGTAGAAGACCCCAGCGCACTTCTCCATCTCAGTGAAGATTTTATTTAGATATGAATCACCAAAACAATTCTGTACTGAAGCTCCCACTCTTTTCCATCCATCTTTCACTGCTTTGGTAATCATGAGCTCCTAATCCCTTTGGAGTCCCTCAGGGCAAACAATTCACGGTAGAAAGCCAAGCAAGGACAAAAAAAAAAATTAAACCAGCCTCTGGTTAACTTAAAAGAAATTCCCACTTTGCAATTCTTTACTACAAACAAACAAACAAACAAAACCCTGCAGTGTTCTACAAGAGCATTTCTCTGTCTCTTTTTTTTTTTTTCCAGGTCCATAGATTTCTTGCTTATTTATGTATTTTATTTATTCCCCCTCCCCAGAAATATCTGGATGTTAAAGTCTGGTATTGACCATTCCCCCCTTGCCCACTGGTGATGGAGCTGAGTGGATTTTGCTGCAATGTTTATTTCTGTTTCTAGACTTTCACTCGTACCATTCCATTGTAAACAGATAATTATTATTTCATTAGTGTTGCAATTCAGAATTAATTGGCTAATTTACACATGGATCAATTGTATAAATGTGATGTTTGTGATAGGTGCTTGATATGATTTAAAGTAATTGTTTATTTTCGGGTTTTGGCTGTATTGTATTGCAAAGTGATTTATCTCCTTATTTATCCTGTCTCAGCACTGCCTCTTCTTTTCCATTATTTTTTCTAAAGAGCTGCACTCCTGCCAGGCTGGAGCATGAGCCCGTGTGCTGTGATTCTGTGGTGCCCCACTGCTCCAAAAGGCTGGGTGTGCAGAGCACAGCAGGAATCACCCAGTGCAGCCCCTGCTCCACCCAGATTCCTGCCCCACCTGTATCTGCCACCCCTGAGCACAGGTGACAAACTTTGGGTCACCTCGGGTTCAGCTTTCTCCTTTCCATCCTGAGGAAAGGGCAGGGCTGAGCTTCCTTGCTCCTTTATTTGTCCAAGTGGGAGCTCTCCTGAAGAAATTTGCACATCTGGGCTTCCAGATATTGTGGGGAAGCAGAATTCCAGCCAGGCACTGCTTGATTCCGTGGCTGACATTAAACATACTCCCACAGGAGAACGCTGAGGCACCTCCTGGCATCAGAGTTTGGGTGTCCAGAGGGAGAAGGAAGGGATGAGAAGACATTTAACAGCTTGCCCCATGCACAAACTCTCCTTTCCCAGGCAATCAAAATGAATCCTTCCACCATCAGATTTTGGAGCTCCTGTCATGCTGTCCAGGCATATAAACACAATTTTGTGAATGCCAGAGGTGAACTGCTGCAGAGTCTGAGCTCAATGGGTCTCCATATCCTATTGCAAATCCTTTCATATTATCAGGGCCTTTTTAAAATCTGACTTCCTCAGCACTTCTCTGTCAGTCTTTCAAGTGCTCCTTCTGAATTGCATGGCTGGAAACAAACAGAGCTCACCCAGAGAAGGGATGCTACTTTCTCTTCAAAAGGAATGTCTCTTGTGGGATGTATTTGATAAGGATGTTTTATTCAAGACTGGGAAAAACTACAAGGGAGTTATGCTTGGAAGCCTGTCTCAGGTTTCCCCGGGCTGAGTGGATCAGGGTGTTTGAGATGTGCGTGGGTTGAGAGGTATTTTGGAACAGTTAAAGTTGTTCCCTTATTATGCCTTACAATGGCATTTTTGTACCTTTAAATGGAAGGCTTTGTTGGCTCTGTTTTCCAGTGGCTTCCTGGCAAGCTGAGAGTCCTCCCTGACAAATATTAGAATCTCCTAGTGCTTCAAGAAAGCAGGTTGTTCAATTTATCAGACTTTTATTTCTGAGGCTCATCACAGTGCGGTGTCTGACTCACAGAGATGGCATTTTTATCAGAGAAGGGGAGAGATTTCTGGGTTGTGATGTTTTTGTGAAACAAGTGCTGCTGCAAATTCCCTGTAATTTGGAGTGAATCCACAGGGACAGAACTGATGAGGGGATCTAAGCACAGACTTTGTCTCACAGAGCACTACACAGGTACTCTATAGAATGTGAGAAAATGCTCTGATCTCATCACAAGCTCCTACCACATATCCTTTGCTTTTGTCACTTTGTCTTGCCCACCAGAATAATTTCTGGAAGGTTTCATCACCCTGGCATTAGTCATGTGGGCACAATTTATTACTTCCACAGGTGAACTCACTGAATGGAGGTCAGCAAAATACACTGCAGGAAATCCTTTGTGAGAAGTATCACTGGAGGATTTGAAGGCAGAGCATGTGCTGTTCTTTAACATCTTATCCAAACATAAACTTCAGCTCATCTTTCAAAATCTGTCAGGATGGAGACACCCAAGGAAAAATGAATAGATGGTGGCTTTGCAGCTTTATATCTGAAGCCCATATATATATGGGCTGGTTTATATATATATATATATATATATATATATATATATATATAGCGGCTTTGCAGCTTTATATCTGAAGCCCAGTGCTTTTATAGCTGGTTGTAAACTCTGAATCATGTAAAAAAGTAAAAATACCCAAATATCAAAACCAGGACTATGTAAACATCAGGATTGGTGAAATCCTAAATAAGCAGATGTGGCCATAAATATGTCATTTATTAAATCCACAAAGGAATTTTGTCACCACACCAAAAAATGCTGAGTATTTCCAGCTCCTCCTGAACCAGAAAATTGCTGCAGAGCTCTGTGGTGACTGTGGCTAGAAAAGAGGTGTTCAGAGCCACACTCAGCTTTCAGATCTCAGATCCCAACTCTCCATTTGCAGAGAGCCACAGAAAGCAGAGCAGATCCAATGTTTGTGTGCAGGGCAGCTGGATAATGTGCAGTTTTAGGAGTTCTTAAATAATCATTGATTTCAAAAGTGTTACAGCCCATTGACTCAAAAACCAGCTGCTTATAAAGCCTCTCGTGCTCCTACCACAGATCCTTGGCAATTGTAGGAGAGTTATTCTGGACGTACCTACTGAACATGAGCTGTGCCTTGAATTTCATGGGAAGATCCTCAGATCACCCTCATTTTCCT